AAAAAAATATCGAAAAAATAGTGCAAAGTTTGAATTTTTTTTTTTGAGCTCATTTAATTTTTTAACTCGGCACTTTATTATTATTTGAACAAATTACTTTTACTGTGCTAGTCTTGAAAATGTTCGCATCAATAGAAAAATTAATTTTTTTAAAAGCTCTTGAAAGTTCAAATAAAATGATGTTAGACTTCGAAATAATATGATTATTAAATTATCAATGAAAATATTTATTTTGAGTCTTTTAAAGGAATATCCTCCCTTAATTACTTGATAATAAAAAAATTTTTTTTAAACAGAAAAATTTCATTAATATCATTTCATTATTAGCTCCATCATATGATGTCAAAAATAACAATTGTCTAAACAATACAAAAAAAATTATAAATTTAAGATTTTGAAAAAAAAAAAAAATTTTGTTATTAGTGACTAGTGACTGAAAAAAAAATCTTGACCAATTTAGTAGACTTGGCGAAAATATAAGTAGGAAAATAAATCAACAAAATCGTTGTTAAACAAGCTGTCTAGGCCATATACTAATACAATGCGATAATGAGATGGGAAATTTTTAAATGTATACGTCAAATGACCAACATTTTATAAAATCTTTGCGCCAGCGCTCAAAAATGAGTAAGCATAAATTATCTATTGTGAGTACTTGCTATTGTCACTTTGATTCTAGACGACAAACTCCTGTTGATCAATTCACACTTTGGCTACCTAAGCTACCTGATAAGTTTATACCTAAGACATTTGTAAAGTAGAATTTAAGCATACGAGTTAACTCTAAGTCGAAAAATGATTGTTATTAGATTTTAAGTAGTCAATTGAAAAACTATACAATAGAGCTAATAAATAATTTTTGTATTGAAAATCACTTATAAGAGTTCTGTTTAAAATTTAAAAAGAACTCATTATGCATTTAAGTATTTAAGCTAAATACTTAAATGTATAATGATGGCCAGAAATAAATCGGAATTTTCTCAAATTTTTAATCTGTTGTGTAAATTAGTTAACTATGTTTTTAATAGTTGTCTCCAGTGCTTACAAAAATTTTTTTGGGGGTTGCTCAAGATTTAAAAAAATTTTCAATATCATTCTAAACGGGATTTTTCCGTGTTAAATTTTTATTTCTCTTCATATTACTATTTTTTGGATCAAAACAAAAAATTTATAGATCAATTATTTAAACTTTTATACTGCCTTTTATGATAACACAAACCCGTAAAAAAAATGTTAATTAACAATTGAATAACTTTTTGAAAAATGATGATACAACTTTTATCACCGCGGAATCATATTTTTTGAAGTATCTGAATGACACCAGAATTTTGTCAAATTTTGTAGTTAGTATTTAATTGCATAAAAAAATTACTTAAAAACTATATACGCTCACTACAGTGGCAGCGAGCACATGCCAAAACTTCCGCGCCAAAGCCGATTTTTAACGTTAAATTAAAATTATAAATATTGGCGCTACTATTCCGGGAGTCCAGAACTTTTTATTAAAATTTCTTGCTCTTCCAGAAACTTTTTTTAAATTTGATCTATCACTTATACTTTTTGAGATTTTGTCAAAGAGCTGGACGACTAATTTTTTTAATGGTGTTATGTCAATAACAATTGTAATTTTTATTAGCAGAAAAAATCCAAAAAATGTCTTTATCTAGATGCAATTCCGGATCATTTAAGCCATCAACCATATTTTTAGGAGACGTAACGATTTTTCGCAGGAAATCAACTTTTCGACTAGACTAATATATATGTTTGAAACAACTAAGAACTTAGAATCACATTATGCAGCTACCTAGCCAATTTTAAATATTTATATATATGGGTCATTTCATGCCAAAAATCACCGAGGTTTTGACCCGACTCCCTTCGATTTCGCTGAAACTTTTTTATCATTTTCTATCCTACTGAAGACATTTTTCTAAATTTTTTCAGATTTTTTTTACCCAACTCAAAAAAAGTTACGAATTTTTGAAAAAAAAAACCGCTCTTCTTTTTCAAATTGCAATAACTTTTTCACAAATTGACCTTTCGGCACTTTTTTTTTTTAAAGTTTTATTTTTAAATGTAGTTTTCAGAAAAGAATACAAAAAATTTTTCGGAAGTCACGATATATCAAATATTTCTGCTTTTTCAACAAAACCGTCATTTTTTCGAAGTCTGACAACTTCGATTCTCAATTTTTTTGTCTCAAAAAAAAACTTCAACTAAGACAGTATATTACTCTGCTATTCCCATTTTATGACGACTTTCATTTCTATTTTTTTTTTTCGATTGAAAATAAAAAAATTTCTAAATTTGGGTTATTTTTTATGACTTTGCCCTAAGGCTTTTTTAGATTGTTTTTAAAAGCTCAGAAGTTGAATAAAATTGGATAAAAACAACCGTAAAGTGTATTAGGGGCAACGATTAAATTATTCTATTGAAGTATCGCTGTTACATCGTTAGAAATCTGAATATTTTAATTATTTCCCTCGGTTTAGAGATTGTTTTCTCGACTTCTTAACCGTACTATGTTGTGTCGATTCATTCGAAGAAGAAAAAAAATTAATTTTTACACGCTTTTTATTAGCTTCACCTGTATGTTTGTATGTTTGTAACCGACTTCTTTGGGCGCGATTTTGACCCTCTTTAAACGGCTAGATTTCGTTCAAACTTTGTAGATTTATCGAGGACCGATGACAATATACTAATTTGATAAAATTATTCCATTTTTCAATTTGCAAAATATGATTTATGTTAATTTATATAATTTTCATCTATAGTCGATAAGGTAAGAAACTTAATTTTAATTTTTTATAATTTTTCTCTACAGTGGATAAGACAGGACTTGATGTTAATTAATAACTTTTTAATAAAATAAAAATATTTTTATTTAATTTTAACGACTGCTTAATAATTATAATTGTTACGATAAGAGCTGGCAATTTTGATTATCAACTTTAACCAAGGTATACAGCGGTATACCTATAGACTCTTCAATGCTTGGTTAACTTTATCAGTGTAATCACTGATCTAAAGATCAATAAATAATAGTTTAAAAAAACTAAAAACACGCTTTTTATAGAAAACCAAATTAAAAAATAGAAAATAAATTTTAATAAATTTAAATTAAGAATATTGTTAAAAATTTCAATAAATATAAATTAATAATAGTGTAAATAAAAAAAATGTATTTTATTTTAAAAAAAGCGTGGGGTGTTTTTTAAGATATCAAAATGATAATAATCACTCTACTTATATCTCTCGATAAAATATTTATAACTATTGACACCATGCACCCCACGCTTTTTTTTAAATAAAATACATTTTTTTTTATTTACACTATTATTAATTTATATTTATTGAAATTTTTAACAATATTCTTAATTTAAATTTATTTTCTATTTTTTAGTTTGGTTTTCTATAAAAAGCGTGTTTTTAGTTTTTTTAAACTATTATTTATTACCACAGAATTCAATAATTGTGTAATGTAATGAATTTTCTATATTTCTATATATATTCAGATTTCTATATATATGTAGCTAATTAATATTTTTTCCCAAAATCGGAACAACATTTTATGAAATTACTAAATCAAATTTTTAATTAGAAAAATACTTTTCTTATCATAAAACCTTCAACTTAAGTGCCTACATTGTATTTATCAATTGTATTCATTATGTGGGTATTCTCCAGGTTTAAGAAAAATAGATTGTCCTTTTGTTATTGTTTGTAGTCATCTTTGTAATACCTACCCTATATAAGTACTATAAATTCTCGATACTAATGACTAATAATTATTTAAATGACCATTACATTGCTCTGTAAATTAAAAACCCGGCTACCGACTACCTGACGCCTAATGGCAGTTGATTTGGGGATCTAGTCTGGAAAAAAGGGAAAATTGCTCATTATCGTTTTGAATAGAGTTGTCCAATAGTAAGTTTTAAATTTCTTGAAGGAAAGGGAAAAAAGAGCCGATTCTGCCAAATTCTGAATTATAGTTATTCTCAGTTTTGGCTTTCAAGTGATCAGTTGTGTCTCAAGATTGCTTACCTTGTTTCAAGTTTAAAAGTTAAACTTCAAAAATAAAACCATGAATTTTGCAATGAACGGTGCTTGTGCAGTTTTTACTGGAGAAGACATGAAGAGTATTGAGTGGAGCGAGCAATTGACAAAAAGTGGTAAGTAATATTAACTCCAATAAAACTTTAACTTTTTATACTTAAGTATTTAAGTACATAAAAAATGTTGGTTCCTGATGAATTTCCGGATAAACTTCAGATTGTGAAACAAACATGAATTTCATCGGGAATTCCAGCTGACTTTCATGATGAATTTCGAATTATTATTTTGCATATTGTGTTCTTTCTTTCCAAAAAATTAATCAAGATAGAAGTTTGAGATTCGTAAATGATGAGTTAGTGTAAGTTACACTAAAAATTCCAATTTAATTATCACCAAATATTTCTTTACAAATTAAAAAAATTAAGTTTCATTTACGATTTGTTTCAAATTCATCATGAAATTCAGCTGGAATTCGCCCTGGAATTCATGATGAATTTCGAAGGATTATTTGACGTATTATGTTTTTACTCCAAAAAATTTATCTGAATACAAGTTATAGAATCGTAAATGTTGAGTCAGTGTAAATGAAACTAAAAAATTCAATTTAATTTTCTCCAAATATTTTTTCACAAATTAAAATAATTAAGTTTCATATACGATTTGTTTCAAATTCATCATGAAATTCAGCTGGAATTCTTGATGAAATTCATATTTGTTTCACAATCTGAAGTTCATCAGGACATTCATCAGAAACTAAAATTTTTTTTATACGGGCACATGATAATATTATTTTAAATAATATATTTTAAATAATATATTTTTTTAATATATTATTTTAAATAATATTATTTTTGCATGTGATGCTAAAATGATACAAAATTTATCATCTATTGAATATTTTCTCATTAGAGTTTGTCAAAAAAATTTTTAAATTATTAATCATGAATTTATCATTTTCAGCTACATCTGACCCACCTCCGACCCGGCCATGGATTCCTACGGCTTCACTGAATGAATCACGACCTTCGTGTATTTTCACGGTGATGACGTACAACGTTTTGAGTAACTCATATGCTACTCCAAAAATGTACGGATATTGCCCGAAGGAGTGCCTGGATTGGGAAGTCCGAGGACAGAACTTGATGTCGGAAATTTGTTATTACAACAATGACATAATCTGCCTCCAGGAAGTCGAGATAGAGCAGTATGATAACTTTTTCCTTCCCAACCTCCAGAGCATGGGATACGAGGGAGTCTTTGCTCAAAAGTCGCGAGCTCTGACGATGTCGGAGCCAAAGAGACGGCTCGTCGATGGGTGTGCAATTTTTTGGAAAATTAATAAGTGAGTACTAAATTTTTATAATTCTTATCTAATGTTTGAATTAAATCAACATTTTTTTAATCTAATGTATTTTATCATTTTAGATTTTCCTTGGAAACGTCAAAGCTTGTAGAGTACAAAGCTCTGGCATTGCAGGGTCGTGCCGACTCCTCCGACATGTTAAATCGTGTCTGGAGTCGCGATAACATCGGGCTGTTAGCTGTTTTAAAAACTACTGCAGCCGCCTGGACTCATAGACCACTAGTTGAGCTAAGTAATATTGAGCAGCTGGTTGTAGTAGCCAATACACACTTACATTGGGACCCAAAATTTCCGGATGTTAAAACCATCCAATCTATGATGCTAACCAGAGAAATCATCTCCATGGTAGAGAACGTAAGGAGATCTTTTAGTTGTCATGAAAGAATCCTTAAGTTCTCAGACGTCAAGGTGGTGCTCTGCGGTGATTTTAATTCGCTGATGGATTCTGGTAAGTTTCGAACCTTGACCAATTATTATTGATAACAATTATTGTGTCCAATTGTTAACATTAAATATTCTTACAGGGGTATTTGAGTTCCTGTCAACGGGTCAACTGCCGTTGAGTCACCCTGAGTTCCAGGGTTTTAATTATACCAACGCAATTGTGAACATGATGGGTGGAGAAAGTTGTGGCAGAATTACCCACCCGCTAAATCTGTCATCAGCCTGCAGTCCGCAGATTATGCCGTATACTAACTACGCATACGGATTCAAGGCGATGATTGATTATATCTTTTATTCGTCCTCCAACATGGTCTGCCTTGGAGTCTACGGCCCCATTCCGCAAGAATGGTTCGATATGTTTAGTGTGGTGGGCTGTCCGCACCCTTTTGTTCCATCTGGTATGTATAATTCTGTTTCTTGATTTTTTAATTCAAATTTTGAAAACCTAGAATTTTTTTGCTTATAATTTACATTTTTTTTCTAGATCATTTCTCGGTGATAGCGGCATTTCAATTGACTGCTTGAATGAATTCGACGTAGGAGTTACTCGGTCGACTTTCTGGATGGGATAGTCAAGTACGAAGAAAAAAGTCTGAGATTGTACAAAGATATTAATTTAATGTAAATTTCTAAATTGTTTTGTGTAAATATTGTTATTTATGATATTAAGTAAAATAATAAAAACTAATATTTTTTTAAAATATACATTAAAAATTTGAAATAAAAAAATTTAATAAAATATAAAAATTTTTTTTATTCTTTTAATTTTTAAAAATTTATTATTACATAGTATATTTTATAATTATTAATTGTAATTGAAAAAATCAATACTATCAATACTGAAAATTGTAAAAAAATTTTTTTGTACTCTTTAAAATTTATTTTTCGCCATCTTATCTATTTTATTATTTATAATATAATAAATATTTGATCATTTAATCTTATTTTTGTTATAAAATCTCTAAATATTATAATTATTACTCATTATTACTTAACTTTTTAAGTATAAATTAAAAATTATGAAATATTAATTAAATAAAAAACGTTATAACAAAAATATTTAAAAATTGTTGGAACAAGTGGGTGAAAACCTGTTTTTTTTTATCGTTGCGCGCGCACACAGTCCTACTACGTGTATCATTACATTCAATCAGCTGATGCAAGTAAACACAGTTAATGTTTTTGTATTTTTAAAATTAATCACGTGATTATTATAAGTGGTTAATGAACGCAACATTTTAAATGATCAAGGTTCAGGATCCGAATTTTGAATTCATAATATGGTCAAAAGATCAATACAAAGTATTCATTTATTTATTCGCTAATATTTTATTTTTAAAAAATTTTAATAATTTTTCAAAGTAAAATTGATAAAAATCTAATAATTTTTCAGCTGAACCCAAAAAATTGTTTTTAAAATGATGTCAAACGTTTTGATTTTTGGACTTTTTTTGACAATTTACATTGCTAATACGTCAGCTTATAACAAGAGTTGTGCAAAACTTGGAGAAATTGTAAGTATCAGTTTCATTTAAATAAATTTATTCTTGCTATCAAATTAATAAAACTGAAAGTCTTAAAATGATAGCAAATTTTCAGAACTAGCTGAAAAAATTTATCTTCAATCAATTATTAATATTAAACATTTTTTCTAGTGTAAAAACGAAGCTCACTGTTGTAATAAATTCGATGGGTGTTATTTATCACTAAAGGAACATGTTTCTCGTTGTGGAGGCGATGGTAATATTTTTTGCACTTTTAAAACTGCTTATTGAAAAATTCGCGGGCTTTAAAACGATTTTTTTGCAAGTTTATGAGGACTATGTACCGTATATCTGGACTGCCACGCTAACTGGTGGTTAAAATGTACGTCAGGCAAAAATATTAGATCGTAAAATGGGTTTTATTTTTTGTTAAAACATATTAACAGATTCTTCGCATTCTTTTGACTTATAACGTCTTGTAAGAGTATACTTATACCATATGTGAATTCATTAAGTTGGGAACGTCAATTCAACTAACTCCTCAAATTTCATTATTTTTTGCTGAGGACCAATGATGCTTTATAGAAAAATGACATGTGTTTACAAATAGGATCCGCAACGCTTGATGTTATGTTTTATCCTACATGGCTGTTTTATCCTGAGAGAAAAAATTTCTTTTGAAAAAAATGGGCATTATAACAAAAAATTAATTCGTTGAAAGTTTTCAACAATTTTATTACTTTGCTGAAAAAATCGAAATTTTTCTCACAGTGATTTTTAGGTTGTAATAAAAATTTGTTTGATTTGACCACAAATCAGTACATAAGTTTCAGTTCATTTTTTTTTATCTTAATAATATTGCTATAATTAATGTTGTATAATAATGATAATCTACAATAATAGTATATTCTAATATAATTTTAATCTTTGGGACATCTTTTCGCAATCGAGAGTGTCTATAATTTTTAAGATTTTTTAATTCACATAAATTTATAAATTTATTTAAACACCGTCATTTTCACCTTTCAAGTTAAGTAAAAATACATACAATAAACGTCGAAGACTGTGTAAAGATTCGACTGAAGTAACATCCAGCGGTAGATAATTCCAAGAATTACAGCCGATAAAAATAAATGATTTTGGAAAGACAATTGGCGAATTTTCATCTAAAATTATTTTTTCCTATTTTTTAACAAGAAATTTAGTGTGAGAAAAATTTTGATTTCTTTAGCTTTTAAATAAAATTTTAAACAAATTAATTTCGTACTACAAATTGCTCATTTTTTTCCAAAGAATTTTTATCACTTAGTGCACTTAAAAATGCTGAATTGAATCGTTTTTGCCATGAATGAAACCAATTAATTAATATTTTATTAATTTTTGAATATTTTATCAATTATTCTATTACAATATCAATGTTCATTTTACGCATAGATTTAACATCCGAGCGCATGCGTTTCGTCGAAAGTCTCATCTCCTTATTTGCCACCCGGTATATATATATATACATATATTGGCGTTGCGTATGCGCAGAAAGTTCGTAATTACCAAATCAACAACATCCGCGAATTTTTGAAAATTCAAAATGTCCACAATGGAAAAAATGATTAATTTTTTTATAATAACTTTTTTTTTTCAGGCTTACTTGATAGCAGTTGCAGACATCCAATAGATTGTTCGAGAGTTTTGGGAGGAACTTGTAAAAATGGAATTTGTGACTGTAAATCGGATCATAAAAGATACAATAGGCATCGATGCAAACCCCGTGAGTAACTATAGCTACCAAGCCATTAATCATAAACAGAAAGTAAATTATGATATTAATCCGTTGATTTATTGAAGGTCACCTGAAACCGTGGGCTAGATGGCACGATGAATAAAGATTTTTCGCTGAGAATATATTTATAAAAATGGAAATTATTTATCGAATGAAATTTGAAATTATAACTTTATTATTTAACTATCCACTTTCAACTATTAAATAAGGTAGTGGATCTCTCGTTCCTCATTCGCTATAAAAATTGTAATATTTTCAATTGTTTATGAATATTTTTGAAAAAGTTTGTAAAATTAAAAAATTCACACCTCATACGCTAATTTTATTGTAATAAAAAGAAAAAAAAGAATTATCAGCAAAAAAAAAAAGTTTTATCATAGCGTTGCTTGTAAGAATACTTGATAGATATCTACTACTATAGTAAGTAGTGCATAATAAAAGAGAATATTCATTTATAGCGATTTATTTACCATAGATAATTAGAATTTATTTATGTATTGAAGATTAATGATAATTTTTATATATTTTTTACAGTAAACATATAGTATAATGGTAGTATTCCTATGATTAAATGTGACAACTAATAACTAAATACTTGTTATAATGTAAAGCCCCAGTAGCTGCTCACTCCATGTATTTGTATATCTATATTTATGAATATAGATATACAAATACATGGAGTAAGTATGTACTGGTACATGAGCAGTTACTGGGGCTCTTACCTTAAATAAAATATAAAAAATTTTTTATTCTTAAATAATTAATACTACTATTTGATAAAATTGTCTATGTAATTATTTTTACTACTAAATGAATCGAAGTTAAATGTAAAAATATTTATAAATGCCATTAAAAGTATGTAACGAGTGGTTTAATTCCCGTACTTAAGGCCCCTGATTTAATTTAACAATTAACAATATTTTTAACAAATGACTCTAAGTTGCTTCAGGGCGCCACCAGGATTATTGTCTCGGTTCCTGGAACCGGATACCAGAGCTGAGTTACTTAATCTTCAGGGAGAGAGAGAGAGAAAGGTGGTCTGAAATAAATATATTTTTATTAACAACGGCACCAAATTTTATTAACAACAAAAATTAACAATTCGTACACTTGTGCGTACACTCCTCAACTCACTTACACTACTCACTTAAAACTACTGGAGAATTTCGGGCTGTAACCGGCGACTCCACTTAACACTACGACTTAATACTAAGGTCTCTTACTTCACGCTCCCCACCGGAAGTCGCTACTACAACTTATATCTACGTTGAGGATTTCGGGCTGGAACCGTCGCCTCACTCAACGTTAATCCTCTGCTCGGCAATTCATCAACAAGCAGAAGACGTCGCACCAAGTCCTAGTCGTCCTACTCGGCAATTCATCAACAAGTAGGGCTCGTCTTATAAAATTTTCCTAATCCCACAGTACCCTCATATGGAGCGTCTATACTGTGGTTTCTAACTACGTCGCGCTGTCCACCGGACCCTCACGCTCTAGGACTGTACGAATTGCTCCACTCGGCAATTCATCAACAAGTAGAGAACGCGTACAATCGCACACACACACACCCCACACGATCTTCACACACATTACCCACGCGTCACACACACACTGATTCTACTTTCTTATTTCCGGATTTACTAAATTACTCCGAAAAATGTCAACTTTAATTTTTCTAAAATAACTCAGTCATTAGCTTGGATTAAAACCCTATGATTTATTCTCACAAATTAAACAAATTCCTTTCTTAAAATTCCGGCTTAAACCGACGCTTCTTTTTCCGCCATTTTGAACAAGAGCTTATCTCTACGCATTCACAAATTCTTAGAACAGTCTTTTGTAAATTTGACTAAATTTTACTCGGACTTAATCCATACGAATAATTAGTTTTTATAATAATTTTACCGGAATAGCAATACTAAATTATTGACAAATTTTTTTCAAGACAAGATTTCAATATATAAGACTCCCCACGCAGAAATTGGCAATTAAATCAGATAATAAATTATAATTTTACTCAATATGAAAATTACGTGCCTCAAAAAAATGAATTCATTAATTCCCATCAAGGGTGTTAATTATTATTAACCTGCAGAATTAATAATTTAGATACTCACGACCAAACCCAGGAGGTCTGGAACATTCCTCGGGTGTAACAATCCCCTGGAGGAATTGTTCTCAAGCTAACAAAAATTAATTTAATAAAACAATTAATTATTATTAAATAAATTATTATAATACGATTGAATTACCATTAATGAAATGAGGGATAGATCAGTAGTTCGAGCCGGGTATAAACTCCAAGGCTCAATTAACGAAAATTTTTACCTTAACAATTTTTCGTACTGAAGAACTTCTAGGATTGGCTTGGGCTTCCTTCCTGCTGTGGTGGTTGGTGATGCCACTTGCTGAACCACTTCACTACTTCTGCCCGCTTCACGCCGAGCGATCAGCTAAATAACCTCAAGCTCCCCCTTCCCCCCTTAACTCTAATCGGGTATTGTCGGGTCCCGAAGATCGAGAGGCCAGTGCTGCGTCGAATAATTATCACGCGCGATCGATTTTATCGATCAGGGGCAAAGTGCCCTGTTACAAGTATATTATAAAGATTATAAAAAAAGTAGAATAAATAAGATTAAATTTATTTTTTCAAGTTCATTTTGTATGATTACCTTACACAGTAAAAAAATTTTGCGTAATTGCATCAAAAATATTTGTGTTAAATATTTAACATAAATCTATATAAATAAAAATAAAATGCCACACACACACATACACACCCACATACATACAGACGTACGGAAATCATCGTGAAAATAGTCAGGAAAGCTTTCTAGGACTTCGAAACGTCGAGATCCGATGAAAACTCGATTTTCGAAAAACGGGGTAAAACCAATAACTTCCCGATTTTTGAAAATTTTCAATTTTCTTAGCGGGAAGTTAAAAATACGCTAACGTTATAATTGAATATATCTAGTTTTCAAAACATACTTTTTTTTTTTTATTGATCGAGTGTCTACGTTGGTACATATTAACGATTTTATATTGTAAAATCGTCCCATAGCGGCATATCGAGAGTAAAGCACTTCTACACGCTCACACGTGAGGCGTGCAATATCGTTTTTTTATGATTTTTGTATATGACTCAATATTATCGAACCTTGAAGAATGGAAATAAATTACAATGATTTTCATAGCAAGCTTTTTATTATTTCTGATTGATTAGTTCTGTTTTACATTTACTTAGTTATTTGTAAAATCAAAGATTTCATTTAACTTTCAAATTAGGAACCAAGTAGAGCTAAGACAATCTTCCCGAAGTCAGAGTTTTTATATATTTCCTGCAATACATTAGATAAATTTATATAGAAATATTCGTACTTATCAATGAAATTAAAAAATCTCACCTTTATCTCATCAGCAAGTGAAATTCCGTAAATATCTTCATAAGCTGATTTTATAGTCCCCAAATCAATATCCGAGTGCCCGACTAAAAATCGGACCATTTGACCTGGTTGACGAAGTGCAAGATGATCTCTCAATATTTTATGCAACACATGAGCAAAGCATTCAGATGGTTTTTTTGCGAGTTTAACTGAAAAATAATAAAATAAACAAAAAATTAACTGTTGTTAATTTTTAGTATTTATTAACTGATTACTAGTAAATGGAAACATTTTTTTTATCTCCTTCGATTCATTAAAGTCATATTTTATGTCATTGCAAAGCTTTTGGATGAAAAAAGCGATTTTTTCGAATTACACCGGAATTTCCAGTCAGATCAATTTGTGTCTAAAAGTATAGATAGAATTTGGATGCTGTCAACCGCGTGAAAATCGGTTCTTTCATTCAAATGTTATTGCGATTTGAAAATTCAAAAAGTAGTGTTTTATTAAACTTCTATCAGACTTTTGAGCTTGACGAGCTCAAAAACGTCGTGAATGCAATTTAAAGTGCTTAGATATGGAATTAGCGGGAAGTTGCAGGGATGGCCTAAAGGGTCTACCGTTTTCCTAATTTATTTTTTTTTTTTTATTCAAATAACTTCGAAATTTCTTATCGGATTGTGTTTGATATAACAAGTTAATTATTAGTGCTTAAAAAACTGAGCTGAACGCCACCAAGTTCATCAGAATCAGTCGAATCGTTTGTGAAATATTTATTTATTTATTTATTTAGAAAAAAAACCCAACAGCCATTCGGCCAATGACAGGGTCACTTAGTTCATGTACATAGTTTAAATTTTTATAGTAATATAATATAAACACATATTACATTTAACATTCCCGATGAAAAAAGATTTTGTCTAATCATATATAATCATGCATAATCGTCTATATATGATCAGATCCAAAAATTGGCCAGGTCTGATCATACATGACTTGATCTGTTTATATATGAACAGACATGTTTATATATGATCATGTATAATCATACATGATCAGATCCAAAAAATGTCCAGATCTAATCATATCTAACTATATCTCGTGAAAAAATATTCTGATCAGACTTAATATAAACATTGGAAATATCAGACTTTATCAGGGTTGATATGGCCATGTCAAGATGTTGACAAACCTGAAGCCTAAATAAAATTGATGAATAAATTTACATTTATAATAAAGTTGATACAACATTTATTTTAGTTGTCTTTACAGCTTTCTTCAAAAACAGATAAACTCATTTATAGAGTACCAAAATTCTCCTCTTTTCGGAACTTAACACTTCAAAGTCAAGTATCTAGAAAGGAACAGTTCTGCGGCCATGCGCCATCTATCGAAGACTTTTAATACTAGTTTCGACAGTGCGAAACATGTGATTGTTCCATGGTGATGTCTTTTATTTGTAACTAATTAAAATGTTGTCAGATTTATAAATATTTCATTGATTATTTTAATATTTCCAAAGTTCTCAAATAATTTTAATACTCCATGAATGAATAACTAAAAATTACGTTTCATGATAAATTGATAAATCATACACATAAGATTTTTTCATTTGGCATAAAATTGCATAGATGTATGTTTGATTATCTTTGTTATTTAAAATCTTAACTAATTATTTATACTTAGTTCTCTATTTCTATGTAATTAGAGGTAATAC